TTTCAGTCACGAACATTACTTCAGAAGATATTCTGGATTTCAAGAAAACTTGGCCATTATACTACAAAAAAACGTCGAAATCAGTTGACAAAGCTTCGACGTTTACCATATCCAAGTATCGACACTTAACGTACAGTGCATCACACAAGGGATATTTGACTGCACGTGAATACATTGACGGACTGGTGAAACATCACTTTTTATTACAGAAAAATAATGTGCACCCCGCATTGCCTGAAAATAAAGCATACACTGGTAAAATACCTATTAACCACAAAAAAATGGTAGATATTCAAAAGATCGTTCAGTACATACCGCATGAAAATATAAATTTTTACGAAACCATACTTGCGTGGCCAACAACGACTGCCGAAACACCTGATAATGACGAAGACTAACGTGTTGAGATACTATTGTTTGTAATAATTAAATAAAAAAGAACATTTGTGTACAAATTTGTTTGTTATTTAAATGCCCATTTCATAAGTTGTATAAAGGGAATAAATCCAAGCTCTTTAAATCAAAATATCTCAAAAACTAAATAAAATTCAAGTCTTTTCATTGTATAATAAAATTAAGATTACCCTACACTTTAAATCACCCATAAGTCAAAAACAAAAAATATAAGAAATGTAGAAGCTAGAATGTTTTTTTCGATTTCCCAAAAAAACACTTTTTGGATTTATTTCCTTTATACAACTGGTGGTTCAAATATATTATTAGGTAAGTTATTGGTATTTAAATATCCTTCCTGCTATCAGGAAGAGACCTTTCCCAGTAGTGGGAGTTATAGGGGTTGTCATGTCAAGTAGAATAACTAGGTACTATCTTATTTTATTATCTATTAGGTAAGTTATTGTTATATATCATTAGGTAAGTTATTGGTACCTATTTAAATATTCTTCCCGTTATCAGGAAGAGACCCTTCTCAGTAGTGGGAGTTACACGGGTAGGTACAGTCAGCTGTAATAGTTAGTATACACTTTTAGCTGTAATAGTTGGTTTACACTTTTGTACCTTGCCAAACTCACACGTTGAATTTAATTTGAATGTATTGGTGGTTTGTGAGTAACATGGTACAACAGTGTGTACACTAAAATCAAACTGACTTTACCGCTCGGAAGTTAGTTGCAAGCGCTACACAGTATTCGGTGACGGTCTACTACTCGTATGCAATCGCTCGCAACCAACTTCCGAGCGGTAAAGTCAGTTAAATCTACCTGTATCATCTATTTGCAGCTGCCTGCACATACTTACAAAAATATTGTTGAACTTAGTATGTATCTATCTATGTTCTTTATTTATCTTTATTTCAATAATATATTTATTGCAATGCAGGTGGAGCCAAATGCTACAAGAGACACTGTAACAAAAAAAATTAATTCTTTGAGGAGCTCTCGTCGCAAAGAACAGAAAAAAATTAAGGATTCCCTTAGGTCTGGTGCCAGCACAGATGACATCTATCGAACATCCCTATGGTACTTCGAGTTATTGGAGTTTGTAGATGACCAAGAAACTGTTCGAAAGCCAGTATCTAATTTTGATTCTGAGGTAAATAATGATTTTTTTTTTTTCTATAAATTTATAAACATGAATAACTTTAAAACTTATTTATTAAAAAATGCCACCGTTTACAATATATTTGAAGTAAAATTCGATAGTGAAACTACGTATGTTATGTTACACCACACTGTTTTGCCACGGCACACTTCCTTCATTGTTGAAATAATGTAAAAATGTATCCCTAGTCTGCTTGGCGTCTTTGGAAATACTCCTATAATGTCCTCTCTGTATGTCAGTTAGGTTTGAAGCATCCGTTCTTAAACCTTCGTGATTCCCATCGTAGATGCTTTCAATAGGAGTATATGTTGAAGGATATTTTCTTCTCAAAAAGTTATGGAGAGCACAACATGTCATGACAACGGTATCTATAGTTTCTAGTTTTAAATTAATGCTGGTATGAAAAATTCTAAATCTATTAGCTCAAATACCGAATGCATTCTCTACGACTCGCCTTGCTCTTGACAGACGGTAATTAAATATTTTACGTTCATGTGTCAATTCTCTTTGATTAAATGGTTTTAAAAAGTTTGGTTTCAAGCTAAAGGCTTCATCACCAATAAACACATAATTTAGCATTTTATCTGAATCACTTAGATGATCAATGTCCGGAATTTGTAATTGATTATCTTTCAATTTATTGTAAAATATTGTTTGTTCTATAACACCTCCATCAGAGATTCTCCCATTAACGCCAAATTCGGATATTATGAACTCATAATTAGCATTAACAACTGCCATCAAAACCATACTGTGAAATCCTTTGTAATTATAATAATAGGAACCCTGTCCTTCTGGTGGAATAATCCGCACATGCTTGCCATCCACTGCGCCTAAGCAATGAGGAAAGTTCCATTTCTCTTCAAATTCCTTTGCTATTTGCTTCCAATCTTCCTGTGTCTTTGGGATCTGAAAACAATTTTTTCTTTTAGGATAACAGCGAGACGGCATTACAAAACGAATTTTCAGATACGGGATTAAATGCTGATGAGCCTTCAACTTCAGTTCATTCTACTTTAGAGCAACGACCGTCATCGCAACTGTCTACAACTAACAGCAATGATCCTCAATCATCATCAAATGAAGTTGGAAGATCATCTACCACAAGAGCTTTTCCACCAAGGCATAGTGGAAAGCGAGGGGCCAGCGAGGTGGACGATACAATATCTGCTATAGGAAAACGTTTGAATGAATCGAAAGAAGACAGCCACGATACATTTGGACGAAACGTAGCTCATAAGCTTAGAGGTTTACCGAATAATCAAAGAATTTTCCTGGAAAAAATCATAAATGATGCTATTTTTGAAGCAGAACTGGGAAACCTAAATAGGAACTGTTACGTACATATACCAACTTCATCATCTTTGAATGTGGCTGTAAATCCACCTATAATATCAATACCAGTCAACAGGTCCGAAAATTCTACGGCAACTACGTTGCCACAACCAAGAAGAGTTCCAGAAAGTCAGTTAATCGCCCTACAAAATAATAGCATCGAATTTAATATAGATCCAAATGATTTAAGTAGCCTATCCCAATTTATTGCTAATTACCAACCTTAACTTTCATGAATAATAAACACGTTTCACTTACCTTCATGTATTCATTCCGTAGAACCTGGTAAATTGCTTTACATGTATCCGGAATAATTTTTGACAATGCTTGATGGGAAATTGCTGCTGAGAATCTGAGGTCCCTGTAAGTTCTTCCAGTAGCTAAAAACCTTAATGTACAGGTTAATCTTTCATGAGGTGATATAGACTGGCGCATAATGGTATCTTGTTTTTTAATTATGGGTGTTACTAGCCGCAGTAACTCACTATAGGCAGTTTCATCCATTCTTAGATAACCTCGCCAGTCTTCTGGATCTTCTCTTAAATCTTCGATTAAGTTAATATGTGAATGTAGGTTTCTCCGCAACAACCATTTTTTGCTCCATTTACTTCTTCTGCGTCGCTTGTTTGCTTGTTTCTTTTTTACCAGTAAGCAATAAACTAGTGCAGCTAATAAAAAACTCTCTTCTGGCCACATCACTTGGTGCGTGCACGATCTGACCGATGCGATGACTAGTAACTGCACAGTTCAGTTTGCACGAGATTACCTGCACGTGTGGCCACTGTGCGGTGTTCAGTCCGTTTGTACAGTCCAACTGCGCAGTTTTGGACTGCGCAGGCAAGACGGAGCGTGTAGCCGGGCCATAAGACATCAACATTTTACAGAGGCGGATTGGTCTAATGTACTCTGGTCCGATGAATCTAACTTTGAGGTTAGTTTTATTAATTATTATATTACCATTATAATGCTAACTGTGGTGATAGACTTCAAACTCAAATGGTTTTAATGTTTTTAATGTCTGCTAATTTTTTGTACTTTACAGGTATTTGGGACGCCAGGTATGACGTTTGTGAGGCGACGTAAAGGCGAAGAATATCACCCAGATTGTGTAGTGCCGACCATCAAACACGGTGGAGGCAGTGTAATGATTTGGGGCTGCATGGCTGCGGATGGTGTCGGCGAAATGTTCATCTGTGAAGGTCGTATGAACAGTGAAAAGTACATCAATGTACTAGAAACTACATTCCTACCTTCAATTTCAAGAGTTTTTGGTGACACTAATGCAAATGGAGTTATGTTCCAACAGGACAATGCTCCTTGTCATAAATCAGCGACTACGATGCGCTGGTTTACAGTCAACAATATTCACCTATTGGATTGGCCTGCTCAGTCTCCCGATTTGAATCCAATTGAACATTTGTGGGGTATTTTAAAACGTAAAATAAAAGAGCACAGTATAACATCAAAAACAACGTTAAAAAGCGCGTTAATGCAAGAATGGGATGCGATATCCCCAGACGTGTGTACTAAACTTGTACGCAGTATGCCCCACAGAGTTGCTGCTGTGATAAAATCCAAGGGTGGTCCTACAAAATATTGAGGTTTTTTTATGTATATAAAGGAAATAAAATTATAAAACCAACAAAAGTAGTTTTATTTTCTTTTTAGCCCGAAATATGCAGCAAGTTGTAGGGTGCCTAATACTTTTGGCCAAGGCTGTATGTAACTCATGTAGGATTTATAACACTTATATGGCTTTAACAGCATAGCATTCAGAAGTCTTTACTGATATTTAAAAATGAGATATACTAAAATCAAACTCACCATAAAATATTTAAACATGAATTTCTTTGAAAATAAATAAAATTTTCGACACGACAATTATTTACTAATTTGTCGAAAGACTTACAGCTAATCAATGAAAAACTAATAAAACTCAATAAAGTCAATTAAAAGTCATAGCAAGGGAGTAGAATTAGCAAATATGTATTATAACATAGTAAAAATTATAAGTAACATTATATAAACATTATTCCTATTAATAGTAAACTCAAATTAAGGGGGGGGTAAGGATTTTTTTTTTTTTTGCATTTTTTTTTTATTTTCGAAATTCAATCCGTAATATCTGAAGAATATTGTGTTAAAATTTCAAGTCAATTGGAGCAAAATTGACGAAGTTATGAGTATTTTTATACGTGCCGGATTTTTGTGCCTATACCCGAACCAACCCCAACGCCCCGACCCGAGCGCGCTATTGTTACCCGGCAGATGTTTCACTCTCTATTAATGTAGTACCTTACCTCCCAGTTCCATCTATCGAAATTTTAAGGCAATACAAGGACAAACGGGTTTATACCTGATCTGTATACTTTGTCAGTGTGGTGTACAAAATTCAGTTAGCAGAAAATATCCTATCGAGCAGACGTATCCACGTGTTCTTTTTTTCGCATAATTTCACCTCCGTTTTCATTCATTTTTGTTGCTAAATTATTACAAAAATGCCCAAAAAAATTGGAAGATCTGATAGACAATCAACTGGTTCGAGATTATATCGACCCAAAAAAAATTTCCCTCCCCACAAACGTAAAAGCGAAAACATTACGACAAAAAGCGCGTCAGCTAAAAAAATAAAAATGACCGTTGAAGATCAAATTAGGGAGGATCTTGAACGACATTATAGGGTAATTGATTTTTTATTGGTCTTTGCAACAATTGCTACGCTAGTGAAGTGTGTGAAGTGTGATGGAAAAGTAAATTTTCATTCGACTAAGAAAGAAGGTCTTGGATTTCACATCAAAGTGTCGTACGAAAGTTATAAACAAATTACAAACGTTCCGTCTAGTGCTCGAATAAACTCTGGTATTTACGAAGTGAATTATCGGTTTGTCTTCGTGATATTAGGCCTTGGATTAGTTGGCTGTGATAAGTTCTGCGGCTTGATGGATTTGTCTAGTTCATTTTTATCAAGACCGACTTACAATAATTACGTGAAGAAAATGTGCTCGACTATAAGGGAAGTAGCGAATCGATTTTTTTCATCTGCTACAAAAAAAGAAAGAGCAGCAACAGCCGAAGAAAAAAATCTGAAGATGCCGACGAACTCAGTGTATCAGGCGACGGAACATGGAAAAAAAGAGGCTACTCATCTTTATTCGGCGTCACCTCGCTAATCGGTTACTTTACTGGTAAAGTGCTTGACATTCTCGTCAAAAGTTCATACTGCCACGAATGTAAAATTTGGGAACACAAATTGAACTCTGCCGAATACGAAGAATGGCATGAAGCTCATGTAGATACTGGAAACTGTCAGGCAAATCATACTGGTGCATCTGGAAATATGGAGGTCGAAGCGATAAAAACAATGTTTCAACGCTCGGTAAAAAATGGTGTACGATATCGCAACTATATCGGCGACGGTGACTCCAAAGCTTACTCCGGGTTAGTGAATTCTAAATCTTATGGTGATGATTTTTCAATAGTAAAAAAAGAATGTGTAGGACATGTTCAAAAAAGAATGGGCACTCGTCTACGTGAAATAGTCAAAAAGACCGTTGTAGATACTAAAGGGAAGCTTACGGCCAAAATTATCGATAAATTGACGGTATACTACGGATTGGCTATCAGACGTCACTCTGATTCCGTAGAAAATATGAAGAACGCTATCTGGGCAACGATCTTTCACTACAGTTCGACGGACGAGAATCCACAGCACGAAAAATGCCTGAGCGGCGCGGACTCCTGGTGCGAATGGCAAAAAGCTGCAGCTGCTAATGCATTGGATTCGTTCAAACACACGTATTGTGCTCTTCCCAAGGATGTTTTGGATGCAATCAAGCCTATCTACGAAGATCTGAGCAAAGATGCCCTCCTGGAACGATGTGTCGGAGGCTTCACGCAGAACAACAATGAGGGTTTGAACCAACTTATTTGGAAAATCTCACCGAAGCACTTGAGTGGAACCTCTGTCGTCGTTGATATTGCAGCTTATGTGGCAGCCAGTGTCTTCAATGAAGGTTCGTTTGCTATACTCACCTTTATGCAAGACATGGAAATCAGTTGTGGATCAAGCGCTCATGACTGGGCGCGATCCACTGACTCCATACGCATAAGCCGAGCAGAGCAGGAAGCTGAACGACAAACCAAAGAAGGCAGGATTCTTCGTAGGCAGGAGCAAAAAGATGCATTAGACATCATCGATGATAGCAACATCCTCTATGGACCTGGCATTGATGACTCAGTGTGAGGTATGCCGATAAAATTCGCTTATAAACGTTTTAACTGGATTTTTTTGTGATTAAAACTTTAAAGCGTTTTTCCCACAACTCACGTTTTCAAAGTCGGTGCCCCTGATAACTCCAAAACTACTGCACCGATCCTTTTGAATTTTAAACACTATTTCTGTACATCATTTACGAGGTAACGCTGTCGAGTTTTTTTTTTTTTTATTCATAATTTTGATTTTGCAATAATAAATTAGCCGATTTTTTCCCACAAAATTGTGTTTTTCACTTCAAAGTGTTCGAAAAAATGAAAAAAATTTGGAAAAAAAAACTCGACATCGTTACCTGGGGAAAACTATTATCTAACAAATGAACTTTGATTTTTTGATTTCAGATGATCCAGCACCAAGTTATGAGGGGCACCGCAATTCAACTTTTATTCGAGACACGTCCGAACAATTGCTACCATTGCCGTATTTTTTAATTTCTTTGTAAAAATTTGATGAAACATTCTTCGAATGTCATACTTTAATGTACCATTGGTTGAGTTAATAAATTTTAACTGTGTCGTCAGAAAAAAAATCACGAAAACGATTTGACCTTACCCCCCCTTAATACAATAAATAATAAATAACTCTTATTACTTTATACCGTTGAAAATTGTCAAATAAGAAATAGTTGTGGATTTCATTTTGGAATTTAATATTTTTTTGATTAAGTATTGCTTTATATAGAACTGTGAAACTGAAAAATGGTTTCATATGGAATCAACGAATCAATTTTGTATTATGTATTTTAAATACACTTTATTTTTAACACAATTGATTTGTTTTTCATAATTGATTTGAATTTATTGCATTTTTATCAATCTTGCGTTAATAATATATAATTATTTTTCTTATAAAACCCCCCATTTACTCAATAATTATAAAATGCAAAAATGAATCTTCAAGAATAACAATATACTAAAAAATCATAAATTAGCAACGGCCGGTCTAGACCACGCAGGCAACGTCGCAGCAATATGCGACAGACAATAAAAATGTAACGTGCGCAAAACCAGACAGACGTTCCATTAACCATTCCACGACCACGGGGACATATGTGTCCCTGACAAATAAAAAAGAAAAAAAAATATCCAAGAGACTAACATTTGTATTTAATAAATTAATTGGTTTTTGAACATGTCTTTATTATATTCTTAGCTGGCAACACTATATAGGAAACACCTATTTTTGTCTATGGTTATTAGAAATTGACAGTTTGTTTGGCGCGAAAAAGTAACATTTTGTAAAAGAAATTAGAGGGTGTCAAGTGTCTTCAAGCGTTTACTAGTGTAAAATTATAATTGTCTGGTAAGTAACTTATTATTTTATATATATACAAATCTTTTTTTTATATTGTTTACATTTATAAGTCATTATATACACAAAGGGACATTGGCGTCCCAATGGTCGTAAAGAGCTATTATTTATCGTGATTATTTGACTTCTTGTATTGATTGGTTTTGTTGAATAACAATATTTTTTTGTTGATATTGTTGCAGATTATGTTTCGTAAGGGACGTGGAGTTTTCGAACTCAAGGAAAGTGAAATCCAGCACATTCTGATGTGTGATAATAGTGATGATGAATCCGATTTACTGCTTGACGAAGAAGACCAAAAAATTCTGACACAGGATGACGACCAAGGAATTTTAGCTGTCGAAATTGAAGATGGGACATCTGATCTTCAGGAATCAACAAGTATGTCACCTCAACCCTCAATTTCTAGAGTAGAACCCGAAGCTCACGCAGATCGCAACCGTCAACCGAGTTTCAAATGGAGCCAAAGAAGTTACGTCCCAAATACTTTTCGTAATGTGGAATATGAATTTGGAAAGGTGCAAATCTACCAAGATGTTGAAACGGCATTGACTCCTTTTGATATTTTCTGTTCCACGACTAATTTTGATTCTTTAGTTCAAAATATTGTATCAGAGTCAATAAAATATGCTCATCAAAATGGACGGGAATTCACTATTGAAACTGAAGAAATGAGAGCATTTTTGGGTATGAATTTAGTTATGGGGTACCATATTTTGCCCTCATTGCGAGATTATTTGTCTACAGAACCAGATATGGGAGTGCCTTTTATATCAAATGTAATGCCTAGAGTTCGATTTGAAGATATTCGTAGGAATCTACACTTCTGTAATAATGCAGAAGTAAGAGATACCAATAGCCCTAATTATGACAGAGCATATAAAATCCGGCCAGTAATGGAACATTTGAATTCTTCATTTCAAAATGCCCTCAATAATACCAAGGAACAATCAATTGACGAACATATGATAAAATTCAAAGGGCATAATGTAATGAAACAATACATAAAAAATAAGCCTGTCAAATGGGGCTTCAAATTATGGTGTAGGTGTGATGCCACAACCGGATACCTCTTTGAATTCGATTTATATACCGGAAAAAGAACTACCGGGTCAGAATATGGGCTAGGTGAATCAGTCGTGCTTCAGCTTACGAAAAAGCTTGAAGGCCTAGGATGCGAAATTTATATCGACAATTTTTTCAATTCACCTATGCTGCAATATACCCTGATTGATCAGAATACCAAGGCCTGTGGAACTGTAAGAATCAACAGAAAACATCTACCTAAAACTGCACCCCTTGATAAAAACATGAAGCGGGGAGATATTTACACCACAAGTTTCCATGGTATAACTTATGTGAAGTGGATGGACAATAAAGCGGTATATTTGTTGACGAACTTTCTATCGCCTGTAGAAAGAGTCACTGTAAAACGCCGTAAAGCTGGTTCTGCTGACAAAATTGATGTAATATGCCCTAGGATTGTATCGCATTATAATAAAAACATGGGCGGGGTAGATCTCATGGATCAACGTAAAGTGTGCTATGAAATAGACAGGAGATCGAAAATAAAATGTTACTTACGTTTATTTTTTGATCTCCTTGATATATCAGTAAATAACGCATATACTGTCTATACTAAGCTTCACGATCAAAAACGCGTAGAAGGAAGTCTATTGACCAATTTGCAGTTCAGGCAAGTAGTAGCTCGAAGTTTGACAAATGGTTTTACAGTTAGGCAACGAGGCATTTCAACTACAAAAACGAGTATAGTACGCAAGTCTGTCAAAAGGCAGTTGCCTTTCCACCCTATGCAAAAATCAAATAATAGAAAAAGATGCGTACAGTGCGCCAAAAATAAGAAAGAAAACCGTACAAATAACACGTGTATTATATGTGAAGTTCACCTTTGTTACACTAATGAAAGGAACTGCTTTGCTGAGTATCATAATTAGTTTTTGTCTTTTGTCTCTATTTTGCTGTAATAAATAAAAAATACTTTCAACAGTGCATTTTTTTAGAATAATACCCATAATTGATAAAAACTATGGTTACGTTATGTGAGCAAAAAGTAACTCTTAGCGGCCATAGGGACACGTTTGTCCCTAAAAATTCCAAAAAAACCATAATAATTTTTTTTGGTTTTATTTTAGAATATGCTTTTTTTATGCTTAATGAGTCATTTTAAATAGCTGACATGATTACATAAATCACCGTTACGTTATGGTCCTGAAAGGGTTAATGAAGCGGGTGAGATTTTTATTTTAGCTTAAGCGCAAGCGATATCGGCCTTATGGGTGAAAGAGTGGCCATGTCCGCCATTGTACATTGACCAACAAATTACTTTATGACAGCATAACACTCTAATATATTCGCATAATATTCTAGAATGTTGTAGAACATTCTAGGTACTTCTGGTGTAGGGTATATAAAGCCGCGCTCGCGATTTGTTTAGTCAGTTTGAAGAAAAATGGACGAGCGACAAGTTCGAACACTATACTTATACGAGTACTTGTTAGGCCACAATGCGCGGGCTGCGGCTGACAATATCAACAATGCATTAGGCGCTGGAAGTACAAGCCATGCGACGGTGTCCCGATGGTTTGACCGTTTTAAATCAGGAGACAGGAGCCTTGAAAGTCAGCCACGCTCAGGGCGACCACCCGCAGTGAATGATGACGATTTGCGCCGCGAACTGCAGTTGAATCCGGATGCTACCACTCGTGAATTAGCGGAAGCACTTAAATGCAGTCACCACGCCGTGGAACAACATCTGCATGGGCTTGGTTATCGAAAAGTTTTGGCTCAGTGGGTACCGCACATCCTTACAGACGCCAGTCGTGCAGTCCGTGTCGCTGTCTGTCAGTCACTTTTGCTGCGACCCCGACGTAAAGAGTTTTTGTCAGATCTGGTTACTGGAGATGAATCATGGATTTATTACGAGAACGATACACGTCGTGCTTTTTGGCTGCCTCGAGAAGAAACGCCACCAACTCAACCGAAGCCGAGTCAAAAGAACCGCCGAAAAATTCTGCTTTGC